GCCAGCCAGAGGCATTTTAAAACACAAATTCCTCTACTCGTCTACATGGCGCAGAGGGTGGTGCTCATTTAACAAATTAAGCTTTTTTGGAACAATTATCTTCATTTTTCAGTCCTAAATTTAAAACAAACAAAACCTCTTTCTGAAGTTCGTCTTTCTAGCAAGAGCGAAACCTTCACAGAAACACACCGATATTGTCTAAATTTCATACCCTCTTGTCGCAGTATTAAAATATTCAAAACACATGGGGAAATGTAACCATATTTCAGTTTCAGGCTTCCGTCTCTAACACCAGTCCTAGGTCTAATATTAGATAATTCTCTCTAATGATGCAGAAGACTTCTTGAGAAACATTAAAGGTCCTAGAATATAAAGATTCTAGAATAGCTTAAAAGCAGTAAACAGAAAGTAATCTAAAGGGACTAAGATGTCGGGGGCCAAGAGAGCGATATGCACAACACATCGAGGTGAAAGGAAATGAAGATGAAGGAAGGAAAAAACCAACCCGGAGACCCAGATAAATGCGCCGAGAGCCCAGGGAGTGCCACCCGGCAGCTACCTGCCTACAGCACAGAGGGATTCTACTCAGGCGACAAAAATGTCAGCTCTGATGCCATTAGCTTGTTCTTCAGGGAAGCGCACAGTGTAGAAACACAAATGCATAGATATGTCATGCTTTGAACATAGGAAAAAGCTGTTTAAAAATTAGCTTTCCAATTTTGTTAAAGACTTGGATATTTAGGGTTTTTCCTGGAGCAAGTTAACAGTAATAATGAAAACAATAAACATCTATTATTTCAAGAATAAATCTATTATTCTGAAAGTCCTCCAAGAGGTCAACCTATTTTCGACTTAAAGAGTAGAAATAACATCATAAGTTCAAATGTGTGCTCAATTTTAAAATTGTTTAAGAGGCTATTCGAAATAGCCCTCATTCAATATCTGGGAAAAAATCCCAGAATTTAATTAGAAATAATCGTACTATCGTACTAATCCCTCACAATGGCTTAATACTATGGATATATTTCAAACGAAGAACTTATATGCATATATGCATAACCCATGGACACAGGCAATCATGTGGGGAAGGCCTGGGGGGAGTGGAGGGGACAAGGGGGAAAAATGGGGGACATCTCTAATACTTTCAACAATAAAGATAAATTTTTTAAGAAGATAATAAATTTATAGTTGAGATTAAAAAAAAAAAGTGAGACTGGGAATGAGTTTAGCAAATACAGAGCAGCCGTCATGGAAGTTGCCTCTTCCTCTCTGCGGTCCCCAAATGTTAAAATGCGAAGAACGTGTCTACAGGTGAGCGCTGCCGGCTTCCAAGCCAGAGGTGTAACGAGGGCAATAACCTGATCGACAGACACTGTCCACGGTGCTGTTCGGAAGCTCTCAGGGGCTCAGGGGAAATCAGACGACAGCTTACGGATTCAGAAAATAGGGCTGGAAAACACACAACGCAACACTAGGCTACGGCGATCTGTGTGTCCATAAAGATACAGACATTTCATAGCTCAATCTTAATACAAACACCCCCTACGCACTTTACAGAGGCAAATAAAAAAAAATTTATCAGCCAATAACCTCCGATCCTTTCGCTGCCCATCAACTCCAAATACACTCAACACCAAAACCTAGGGGAGAACCTTAGAAGGCACCTTATAACACAGATGTTATTATGGCCCCTGATTACAAACCACCTGACCTGGTTTAAAATTTATTTATAGGCCCAGGCCAAGCCCACAGGATAGAACTCAAAGGCCTCAAGAATCTACGAGCAACACACAGAGTAAAACAACGGCCAGATGCTCAAGTCGGCACCTTGTGGGGCTCAGACGGGCTCCCTCTAAAACTGTGACAGGCTCTTAAGAGGAAACCTACCATCAATGTTCCCAAGGATGTGACTGCTTTGCCAGGGTCCAAACAAATCAATGAAACACTTGGAGCCTTTGAGTAACACGATCTACAAAAGCTTAACGCCAAAGCAGTTTTGCCAAAAATATGAATTCATTACGCATCATTGAAAGTAATGTGATGTGTGTACTCTTAAGAAGGAGTTTGTGTGTTTTTTTAAATATATCTTTATTGATTTCAGAGAGAGGAAAGGAGAAGGAGAGAGAGAGAAACATCCATGATGAGAGAGTCATTGATCGGCTGCCTCCTGCGCGCCCCCGACTGGGGCTCGAGCCCGCAACCCGGGCCTGTGCCCTGACCAGGAGCGAACCTTGGTCACCTGGATCCTAGGTGGACGCTCAACCGCTGAGCCACGCCCGGCCCGGCAAGAAGGAGTTTTTTAAAAAAAACAACTTTACCCTTTCGGTTCCGTAACAGGAAAACCAAGCCTGCCTTCCTGGGGAAGGACCAACTTGGGCGTCACCGGGGCCCACGTGCCACAGTGGCGGCTGTGGAATGAGCGCCCTGGGTGCTTGTGCTGACGATGCCCGTCCAAGGAGGAAGCCCTGTCCGTTCCTGAAGGTTTCTTTTACAGCGCACAGCAGGTGGGTAACACTGGTGCTGCCAGTCCCAGGGTCTGATGGGAAGGGGCCAGCGGTGCCACACGACCAGCCATCTCCGCCCGTCACGTCCACCAGACCACAGGTTGCTCGGGGCAGGGAGGGCTCATCCGTTTCCCTTACTGGGGCGCCTAGCACCTGCTGGCACCGAGCAGGCACCCAATAAACAGGCGCACGCACTGAGGGTGCTCAACGTGTCCTGGGGCTTCTCACCCCTGAACTTTCACTTACTTTAAGGCTCTCAATTTTTGTCTGTACTGAATGGTTACAAATACCCCCCCCCCTTTTTTTTATCCTGAGCAGGTCTGTCATGGTTAACCCATTTTTGTTTACAATAAGGAAATAAAAAAACAAGATGCTTGCCCGGCCNTCTGTCATGGTTAACCCATTTTTGTTTACAATAAGGAAATAAAAAAACAAAATGCTTGCCCGGCCGGCGTGGCTCAGAGGTTGAGCGTCGACCTATGAACCAGGAGGTCACGGTTTGATTCCCGGTCAGGGCACATGCCTGGGTTGGAGGCTCGATCCCCAGCAGCAGGTNCGACCTATGAACCAGGAGGTCACGGTTTGATTCCCGGTCAGGGCACAGGCCCGGGTTGGAGGCTCGATCCCCAGCAGCAGGTGTGCAAGGGGCAGCCGATCAATGACCCTCTCATCATTGATGTTTCTCTCTCTCTCCCCCTCTCCCCTCCTCTGTCTGAAACCAATAAAAACATACTAAAATAACAAAAACAAAAAAACAAGATGCTTACACTGCTCTACTCTAAACAGTTTTATTTGGATCAATATCAAGTGCTAATCAAACTTAAACCTATTTTCATTGCTTGCTCTAACATAACCTAACCCATACAGGCTTGTCTTTAAAATATGCTTTAGAATAATGCCTGCTGGGTAAATTAAGCGACTTAGAATCTTCATTTAATACTTATTAGGGTGACAGCATTCAGCATCTGGGGATTAGCAGGAATCACAAACCTAAGCGTAAAGGAAACTTTATTGGCTAGGAGTAACTTTAATTACAGAGATCATGTAATCAGTAATGATAATTAGGCCAACACCCTGAGCTTAATCCACACACGCTCTACAACATGGACTGTACCCTAACCTGAGTTACCTGACAGGTGTGGGGTGAAACATAACAAGAGAGAACAGGTATCGACATAAATCTGTCTCCACCAAGTTTACTCAGATGATACACCCATATAACGTCCAGCAATAAAAATGGTGATAGCTCACTATTAATTTCAAAACAGGTTCACAGGCCACTCAGAAATTCTCTCAGGTTCAAGATTTCTTTCCATAGTCAGGCATCGCTCGGAAATAGCGCAGGTGTGGTCCGAGACCACCGCGATGAAGCGCAGATCGAGACAGAGTGAGCCACAGGGACTTCTGGTGTCCCCAAGCCTATCAAAGTTATGTTTGCACTCTGAGTGGACCAATGAGTGTGTGACAGCTTTATGTCTAAAAATCCATGTACATACCTTAATGGAAAATATTTTTATTGCTAAAAAGTGCTAACGGTCATCTGAGCCTTTGGAAATGGAACCGATCGATAAGACTTGTTTGACACGGGGTTGCCTCAAACCTTCAATTTGTAAAAAACGCACTATCTGCGAAATGCAATGAAAGGAGGTGTGCCTGTATTTGTGACGATACTCCTAACTATGGCCCCAACAATCTCCAAATATCGACAGTAAGTATGGCTACATATCAGCATCCTGAAATGCTAGAGTATGGCTATAAGAGTCCAGTGTATCACTAGTAATAATGAAATCACGGGTAAGCAACCCGAGTGAAGGTAAAAATCACAGGCCGAGAACCACAACTTGATCACTAATTTTCTAGCGGCAGCGGGCAAACTACATGGCCCTTAGGTCTCTCTTCCTGGGGGGATTTTAAGGTAACGTGGTTTTTTTAAAATGTAAGATACAGCTAAAAAATAAGATTGTCGCCTGGCAGGTGTGGCTCCATGGCTGAGCATCGACCCGCGAACCAAGAGGTCACTGGTTCGATTCCCGGTCAGGGCACAGGCCCGGGTTGTGGGCTCCGTCCCCAGGAGGGAGCGTGCAGGAGGCAGCCAATCAATGACTCATCATTGATGTTTCTACCTCTTTCCCTCTCTCTTCCTCTCTCTAAAAATCAATAAAAACATATATATATTTTTAAAAGTAGTGATTTTTTTTAAAAAAAAAAAAGATTATTTTTGAGACTGTGTCTTTAACTAAAAATCAGACAACAGCCCTCCCTGCCTGCAGGGCTCTGGGGCGCCGGGGTGCAGAGCAGCCCCCCCGAGGGCTCCGGTTCTCGCGAGGTGGCGGCAGGGTCCGAGGGCCGCGCGTGACACCCGGGGCAGCTCTGAAGCTTTACCACGGGCCCAGCACCTCACCCGGGAAAGCCGCTTCGGCCTCGTGACCGCCACGCGCTCGCCAAGCTGCCCACCCTCCTGACAGACAGACAGACAGACGGCCGAGGGACCGGTACCTAGAGCCACGGGGTCGGGGGTGACGGGGCTCTGCTGCCGGGAGTGGCCGCCCTTTTTCAAGTCCTCGGCGTCGCTGTAGCGCCGGATCCAGTAGTTGAGCTCCTCGCGGTCGGCCTCCTGGCAGCGGCGCAGCACCGTGAGCGAGCGCCGCGTCTTCTCCACCATGTCCATGATGCAGTTCAGCAGCTGCGGGGGGAGCGCCGCTTTAACGCGGGGCTGCGCTCTCAGGCCGGCGGGGTCAGACCTGAGACCGAGCCCCGCGGGCGAGAGAACTCGGTGGGAGCGAGAACAGAAGGTGGGGGCGTGAGCACGAGGGTGACACCGGGCGCCCGCCAGGGAGGGGCGGCCGCTCCAAGCCCAGGCCCCCTCTAACCGGGCGCCCCTCCCCGCAAAGCCGCTGGTCCCGTCTCAGGAGGCCCCCCGAGACCTTAGCGCGTCTCTGCCTGAGCCGCCCTGGTTCCCGCTTAGAAATCAAACCCCACCTTCGACTTCAAACCTCCTCCCTCATCTCTTCTGCCGAGGTCAGCAGGAAACGCACCGGCTTCCGGGGCCCCGCGCCCTTACTGCGCCAGGCAACCGCTCCAGCTGCGCTCAGAACGCTAAACCCGAGCAATTACCAACGTCTTACATGGTCGAGGTGCTTCCACTCCTCCGCCCACTCTCTGTCCGTCAGCCGGTGGTCGATCATCTCCTCCTGCCGGGTGCCATGCAACCCTACAAACAGAGAGGAAGGCTGAGTCGCCCCGCCGCACTCGCACAGGGCACAGGGCACAGGGCACAGGGCACGCACGGGGCTCAGCAAAGGCCACGTGGGCCAGCGAGGCAGCCGGAGGCAGCGGGAGGCCTTTCGGGGAGGCGCTCGGCCTCAGGGTTACCCAACGCAGGCTCCCCCGGCTGAGACCGGGAGAGCCGGGGCACTCGGGGAGGCCAGCCGCTCACAGCCCGTCTTTTATGCACGAGGAAAGAGGGAGCTGGTTTTCCAGGTAGCATTCCCTAAGCGAAAATAAAGGCAGCGAAGATCACTCTGCGGGGCAGGAGTGTGCTTTCCTAAAGCAAGCCCGGTGCAGTTTTCCTGTGTTTCAGCACCTTGTAAGTGAGCACGGCCCTGTTACAGAGACCACACCTCCAGGATCACGTCAGTCTCGAAGAGGGGCTTACGTGGTCCGAAAGCCGCACTTGCCCATTCAACTTACCGAAATGTAAAAAACAGAACTAAATCGGACATCCTCTACGAAAAACATCAATATACCAGATATAATTTTGGACAAATATCATAAATCCAAACCAAGAAACTTAAAAACCTAATCCTTAGCCCACAGCATAAGCGTATTTGCTCTTCGGCATCACAGTGAAGATGCTGCTGTGAAAAAGCAGCACATACATGCTTACCAGGTGGGTGACAACAGGGACAGACACGAGCAGTCATCAGGACGCTCATCGGAATAGAAAATAGATGTGTCTCCACAGCAGCCAAGATAGAAAGCAGCCTACGTGTCCGCTGGTAGATGAATAAAGGGGACGGGATACACACATACTCACAGAGGAATATTACTCAGCAATAAAAAAGAACGCAATCTTGCCCTGGATGGACCTGGAGGGCGTTATGCTAAGGGAAATAAGTCATACAGAGAAAGACAAATACCACAAGGTTTCGCTTATAGGTAGAATCTAAAACAAAACAAAGACAGACTGACAGAAATAAAGACCGAAGGGATGGCTACCAGAGGGAGCGGAAGACGGCGGGGGAAGACCTGGAAGGGGAATCTTGTCAGCGTTACTGCGAGTAGTTCGCACGGTGACAGGTGATTAGCAGGGTTAGTGGGGTGATCACATTGTAAGGTATGAAAATGTCTAGTCTTTATACTGTGCACCTGAAACCAGCATAACCAGTATGAGACTGTATACCAACCATACTTAAATTTAAAAATTAATCAATTAAAATAACAATAAATGCCAAAACAACTTGCTGAAACACGAAGAACTTGACACAATTAAGCTGGATTTCACAATAAAACCTTTTCTTTGCATTGCGGAACAAAAATTCGGTCAATGATATAAGTAAGAATAGGGTGGAAAGCTCGGAGGTGCCTGGGCCTGGGTGGCTCGTCTTCCGAAGTCACTGTGCATAGAACACCTTAAGGCTGCACTGTCACGGAAAGGCNTTTGCATTGCGGAACAAAAATTCGGTCAATGATATAAGTAAGAATAGGGTGGAAAGCTCGGAGGTGCCTGGGCCTGGGTGGCTCGTCTTCCGAAGTCACTGTGCATAGTGACTTAAGGCTGCACTGTCATGGAAAGGTNTGTCACGGAAAGGCGCCGGGCTAGGGCGGATTCCCCTTTAGACAATTAAAACTGTTCTTTTTGGTTTAGGTACCCGAATAGCACATGCAGACTGGCATGTTTCGGGCTTCTTGACGCCCAGGGTCTTCCTCCGGGGGGTCTCACGTACGAGTTAAATGCAACAGGGTAAGAGCCACCGGGTCACCCGCGGCGCTGCACGCCTGTGAAATCTGAGTGGTTCAAGTCCCTTCCAGCTGACTCGGAACCATGAGGAAGACGGGTCACGTGCCTGTTTTCAGCCAACCGTAAAATGTGAACGACTATCAACCATGAAAAATGAACAAAGGCAGGGCACCTTTTTCTCCGGAAAAGCTAAATATGAAACACCCTGCATCCCTCCTGTCCGAGGAGATGCTTTCCGAAGGTGAAAATGGTCAGTGCCACCTATTGGGAGAAATGCAGAATTGCAAATATGTTTTAATAAATCCGCACCACGGAAAAGACACCGGGGAAAAGTAGCGTTTGGTTATTGCTGTCTGTTGTGACTATCTCGAGCTGAAGTGTTTGCAAATGTGTAATTTTTGTTGACTGTTTGTTGCCTGTGTTTTAAAGGAAATGAGTCATCACAGAAGACAACCAGGGAGGGGTGAAGGCACAAGTAATGGAGACCTTGAAGGACCAAGAACTCCAGAGATTTCGGAAGTTTCAACGCTCAGCTGACTAAACAAATCAAGATACGGGCTCTAACACGGGGACTGGGATTAATGCGAAACACGGTGTCTGTGGCTAATGGGATTCCAACATTTGTGGAGCAGTATTAGGCTTCATCTCATTTTTTTTTTTTTTTTAAATACAAGTATATTAGAAACATGCCTGAGCCCAAGTACTTGGAAAAATATAGGGCTCATGGGCTGTTCCTGAACTCTGAAGGTCACCTGTTAGAATCAAATCTTTAAAAGGAAAACATAAAAACAACTCAAAATTTTACATTTTATGAATTTCTCTATTTCAGATACTTAAATATTTCATCAGCCCACGTTTTTTATTTATATTCATAGTACCACGGAGACATGCTACGGGACAGTAGCTCCTAAGCCGTAAGGAGCCGAAGGTGTCCTTTGTGGGAAGTTTGACACTAATGTGGAGCCTTAACTGGTTCTTATGCTTTAGAAGATTTTAGCTAACTAGGCTAAGACTCTGAGTTTATTTAGGAACGAATGCTGCTGGGAACGTTATTTTATTAAAGGGTTCTAATGAGTATATTTTTCTACGTAAAATAGGCATTTATAAGTCATGCCAGACTAAGTATATCTTTATGACAATCTTTTTATCTTCACCTGAAAATACGTTTATTGATTTTAGAGGGGGGAAGGGGGCGGAAAGAGAGAGAGAGAGAGGGAGAGAAACATCGATCGGTTGCCTCCCAGATGCACCCCAATTGGGGATCAAACCCGCAACCTAGGTATGTGCCCGGACTGGGGATCTGAAGAGCAACCTTTTGGTGTACAGGGTGACGCTCCATCCAACTGAGCCGCCTGGCCAGGGCTATGACAATTTTTATATTTTCATTTGTCGCTCATACATCACGACTTTATTTTATTTTAACATATTCTAAACCCTGCCAGACTTTAAGGATGATTTAATAGTTACACATATTTATAGAGATAGGTACTCTTGGTCTTATAAGCTGATATAATTAAAAAATAAGAAACACTGCCTGAAAAAGAATTACATGAAACCAACAGATATAATCCATCCTGGCCCACCAAATCCCCCATGTGAGGAAAATGTGTCAGCGACTCAGCTACAAGGCAAAGGGAAGTCCTGCTGGTGAGTGGCACGGACACAGGAGATGGAAAAAGAAAGGACGGGCCCAAGCCCGCCGCGTCCACCGCCCCCCTCACTTTCCAGGGCGCTCACTTGTCCTTCAGAAGGCAATGTCTCCTAAACGCTTCATTCCCAATAGCTTTATTCATGCGAAGGATGAACGCATGGAGGCGAATGGGACGCATATTAACCAAACCCATTCCTTCTCTGGAATGATCATCTTCGACACAAAATTTCAATACTGAATGTATTCGCCGGCAGTTTCAAGTTAAAAAGGGAAAAGTGCCGAATCATTCCTCAAAGAACACACGGTTAAGTCGCAGACGTGCTACTTCATATTTTTCAAAGATGATGTATCATGGAGACTGGAAAAATAAAAATGAATTTTAAGTCTATCGGAAATAAAAGATACAATAAAAGAAATCGATTTTAACAATATTTGTGGCAGGTGGATTGCAATTGCAATTTCTCATATTAAACAAATTAAACTAGCCCTGGCCAGTGTGGCTCAGTTGGTTGAGCACTGCCCCATGCTCCAAGGGGTCACCGGTGCCCAGGTTGCGGGCTTGGTCCCCCCCCCGGTGGGGGGTGGTGTGTGGGAGGAAGTTGATCCCTCACTGAGGTCTCACTCTCTCCCTCTCCTTTACTCTCTCTCTAAAAAAATAAATTAAAACGTATTTTTAAAAAATTAGTTGAGGGCTTATATTAATTTAGATGTCCCCTTCCAAAAAAAAAAAAAAAAAATTAAACCTGCTGTCATAAGAATACAATGAACTAAGAGAAGGAAAGCGCAGCTGTGAAAGAACGTATGCACACGAACCAAGTGTCCTCATCAAGGGGCAACAGAAAGGGAGAAGGGCATCTGCACCCCGGTCGCGAACGTTACGCCCCAAGTGCAGCCGCGAAGTGGCGCCCCGGGTCTCGGGCAGCCACTGCCGTGGGCGGTGGACGGTCCTTCGTCTTACCCATAGGTCTGCTTCTGTCCCTGAGGTCCCTGTGGCTGGGGTGTCGGTAGGAGTCCCTGTAGTGGTGGGCGATGGCCATGTCGTCCAGCCGGTAGTGCGGGGCCGGCGGCGGGGCGGGGTGCGGCAGGCCGTTGGGCTGGTAGGACAGGCCGTTGTTGGGGCTGTAGCGCTGGCCGGGGCTGATAGTGCACGGCCGCTTGCTCGGGTGCTCTGAGTGCAAAGGCTCTCGGTCAAAGCCATTTTCTTTGGTTCTGGGGAGAGAAAGAGCTTGTTTTATAACGTCCTCGGAAACCAGCGGAAGCCGGCAGACTCCCGCGTCTGACCCCGTGCGAGAAGCCCAGCACCCCTCCGTGGGCCAGGTCCCCGCAGGCTCGGACGCCCGCGCCGAGGTCGCAGGGGGCGCGGGGCCACGCAGGAGGGACCGTCCCGTCCCCAGGCGCCCTTCAGGAAATGCATTTTCGGCTGACGCGCGCGTTTAGGTCATCAACCAAAGGAAGCCCAGCCCCACTCCGCAGGTAACACTTTCACTCAAAGGCGAGCACTGGATTCCTAGCGGTTACCCCGAGACCCTGCACCCGGGAAGGTTCCAGTAGGAACAGGCCCTCGGACGGGTTCTGAACGTGCACCCGGCCCGCCCCCCCGGCCGCGCCCGCCTTTCACGTCAGAGAACCTGGGAGAGCTGCGTTGTGCAGTGCAGTGGCCACACGTGGCTGTTTACATTTAAACGTAAGTTATTTAAGATTGACTAAAGTTGAACATTCAGTTCTTCAGGGGCGGTAAGCAGCCGCATTCAGGTGGTGGTTGTCACCCGGGGCTGGTGGCTACAGCAGTGGCCTGCGCAGATCCATCGTCACAGAAAGGACATCCCCACTGTCACAGAAAGTCCTACGGGAAAGCGCGGACCCGATGAGCTAGCACAATAAAGCAATGCACTGCCTGGGACTCTGCCTGTAGGTGACCACCCTTATTTTAAAAGTTGAGGAAACACATGGCTGGAGAGCATGTGTGACCTCTCTGGGGTCCTCCGGTCTCCGGGCAGGACGCCACACCTTGACTGCACTCGATGACGTGACACACGAAGCTCTGAACTTGACTTTCAGAAGTAACACGTTGTAGAAAGGAGACCTGATAACTAATCCCTCTCCTGTACTTTCAAAAAGAGACGGGCCTGAAGGAATATTTCCTGGCTGAATAGATCTCTATTGTTAAGGACAAACTTAATATATTCAGTAAGATAGGAACAGCCCACTTCCAACTGTGACTGGCCTCGCAGCTCCCCGACGAATTTTCGATGCCGTCGCCGGCTCTCGCCACAAGACCAGCCTTCCACGGTCAGACCAGTGGTAAAACCTGCTTTCCCTGCAAAACTTCCGCGTAAGAATTCTACCCAGTCACCGCGGCTACAGTTCTGCACGCCTTGCCGAGTTCACGTTGGCAATGACAGCCCAGGGGCCTGAGGACATTTTCCCTACTTTCCTGGCTTCCAGGATAGTCCGCCTGATGGCACTAGTAGCAGCTGACTCCACAAGGGAGGTCACTGGGGCCACAGGATTCCACGGCGAGCCGTCCTTCGTATCGAGTGGGGCAGATCCCCAGTGACACACCCCGGACGGGGAGAATACGGGACCAGGGACAGCAGGCACAGCACACAAGAACCTGAGGGGAGCTGCGGAGGTCCGCGGGCGGTGAGCACATGCCCGCTGCATCCTGCAGAAGGATGCACTGTCCCCGAGAGAGCAGACTGGCCGCCCTGGAAATGACCGAAGGGTGTGGTCCCTGCGGGAGTGGTGGCCAGAAGCCTCAGTGCCGCTCCCATCAAAGTCTGTGCTAAAACACCATTCGTATCAGACATAAATGTCCAGCTCATACCTAAACACTTTGCTTTAAAATAACTTTTTAAATTTGTATTTATTGTTGGCAGTATTACAGATGCCCTCTTCTTCCCCCCACCGATCCCCTCCACCCCTCTCCACCCACCCCCAGGCCTCCCCATACCATTGTCTGCGTCCATGGGTTATGCATATAAGCATATTTTTAAAAGTGAAAGGAAACATCCTAGATATCGATTTATCTTCTAAGAGTGTATCTATGCCGTTCTAATCTGTATTTCCATGTCCTGTGCATTTCTGAATAATACACTTCAACATTCAATGCCTGTTAGCAGCATAAATCAGCTGAAAAAATACGACTATTAGTAGCTATGAGCACAACGCTAACACAGCACCTACCTTACTGGCAGTGTGGTGCAGTGGAAAGAGCTCTGGACTGGGAATCGTGAGATATGAGATCTAGTCCTGGCTCTTCCACGACTAGCTGTGTGACCTTGGGCAAGCCACTTAACCTCTCTGGACCTCAGTTTGCTCATCTGTAAAATGAAAGGGTGGGACGAGGTCAGGGGTTTTCAAACTGTGCCACTGGGGGCACTGAAGGGATTCTGCGGGCAACGAGGAACTTCCCTCCAAACAACTGCGATTACATGGCCAGGGGAGCCCACTTATTACTGACTGTTTTCACAACTCTGGGTTCCGCCTAAGGTTTCATTTTATTTATTTTTTATTATTATTTTAAATGTATCTTTATTGTTCAAAGTATTTTAAAGGAAGAAATCTGCCGCTAAATTCAAGTCTGAAAACCACTGGACTAGATGACTTCTGAGATCCCTTTGAGTTTGAAAACTCTGTAATTCAATTTTCTTACATTTACAACTAAATGTCACGGTTAAATGGTTATGCAGATGCAGACACACAGGGCTGATGGTCCTCGGGCCACACTGCGTCTGTGCCAACCCCTTCAGCCAACAGAGTAGTTCTTTGATGTTTGCTTTGAACAATTTATTATTTATAGCTAATTCTTGGGGCAAAAATAGCAAATATCCTCTAAATACCTTAGAGCAGCCACTGTTGCATTTCTAAATATAGAAACGTTTTTGGCCCAGTTGTGTCAAACTGCCTCAACTTACCCTTGTTCAAATATAACAACATAAAAGCTGGGAGAATTCTCACAATTTTCAGAATGTTATTTATCTGGATCCTCAGATCCGCCGTCCGGTCAGTGCTATTACTTCCATGAACCATTGTTATAAAAAAAAGAAATTTTCCCCCTAAAACAAGGACCGTGAGTGATAACCTGAGCAGGGCTAGATCCTGAGTCTGCCCTGTCACTTCTTTGAGGACCCCTCTGTCTTAGTAACATTTATATAAAATAATATGACATTCAAAAAGTGAGGGAGAATAAAACAATTATTATAATATCATGACAATAAATAGACTAACAGGACCAATCACTCTCCTATTTAACAGGAGCAGGCACATGTTCTTTTTCTAGATTAAATTTATTTTTTAAGTGTGTGTGTGGGGGGAGTGGATATCACTACAAAGGCTGTTCTAGGGGGAGGCAAACCAGTCTAGCACAATAAACCTGAGAATGGCATAGAAAAAACGTCAAAATTCTAATATTGGTCCTGTCACAAATAAATCAGGGCTTTAGGCACTCACGTCTCCAAGCTACACGAGTGTTTCAAACAGAACACGTCCAAACTGACCTCATCTTACCCTGGCACTTCTTGTGCCATCAGTTACGCCACCTTTCCCCAGTCACCCAAGGAGAAACCTGGGCATCACTACCACTGTCTTCTCCAAATGAAGTCCTGCTGCTGGTCCCTTCAGCATCTCTAGAACAGGCCTCTCTGCCCCGCCCCTGGGTCCCTGTACCTTGGCCCCATCACAACACTGTCCCAATCGGCCAGTATCTCCGTCAGGGCAACGCCCGAGATGCTGGTAGGGGCCCAACATTTTCAAACACTCATTTTTTTTTTTATAGATCAGGAGGTAACAGCTCTATTTTTTTACAAGCCCCAAACATTAGTAACTTCATATTAAACATCTTTTCCCCTTTTCTTACACATGCAATTTGTTACGATTTTCATAGAAAGAGCAGACACCGCATCAAGGGGGGTGGGGAGTAAAACACTCTTGTCGTTTCCAAACAATCCGGTAAAAGTTCCAGGCATGAACTGTTAAAAACGAAGTGAATTTAGATATGAATTTTACATAACACCTTTCTCTCGGTACTGAGAAAAGTGTATCTGAAACAAAATATATGGCAAATCCCCCTGCCTCCTTAAAAAGAAAATCGAACATAATTTTTCATGACAGCCCACGGGGGTTCCTGCGTTTTCTCTCGTCTCAGCGGGGGTGGGGCAGGTAGACGCTGAGTGACCCGGGACCGTTCCCACGGGCCACGCGGGAAGAAACGCCGACAGTCCCTCCCTGGCTAAGCCACCACCGAGCGGGTAACCCCCCCCGCGGCGCGCCGACGCCTCGGGATCAGCGACATGCGGGCCGTGCTGACACTCCAGACACACGAACACGACGCCTGGGCCTGCGAGGATCACGGGACAGCAGGTTAGAGCCGCCCGAGCTCCCCTCTCTCCCGGCAAGAAGGCGGGACGCCGCGTCGCGGGCCTCCTGGAGCTGGCCACCCGCTCAGCATCAGGCTCCCGCTGCTGGCTGTCCCCCGCCTTTCGCGATCCCGGCCTGTCCACTGCGCCTCGGCCGGAGCTGCGCTCCCCTCTCTAACCTGTCTGCACGTTCGGAGCAAAGCCCCCCAGGTTTTTCTTGGTCAGTGAACCAATCGTGGCATTTTGTGCCTGGGCTGTCGAGGGCTGTTTTCACGGCTGTGTGGGTCTCCGAGGTGCATCTTCGAAAATGGTAGAAAGCAAGACAGACTCTTAAGGAAGAGACTATTTTGTATAATACTGAAAATGACGACATTAAGTTTGACTTGACCTGCAAACCCAATACAAGCTGTTCAGGGACTCGCCACAGAGCTATTTTTAAAAGAAAGTAGAATAAATTTCACTGCTCCATACAGGGGGGAAAATGATTCTGTGGGCCTCCCCGGGTATGCACTTCTTTGTAAATAATAATAATGCTTAAAAACCCCAACAGACATAACCAGTGACGATCACATTTGAGGAGAGAGAGAAGTTAAATTTGCCCAAATCTATCCCGAAAACACCTGACGACTGTTCAGTCGATGAAATCAGCAATTATCACAAAATTTAAGCCCCCAAAGTTGTAAACAAAATGCAGAGTGCTCTTTTGTTCACGACATGTCACGAACAAATTACCGAAATGTGTTTTCTCCTCAGGTGTCAGTTTTTCCCTCTTTCGGTGACTGATGGTTCCCAGTGTTATTACAGAAACAGATTGATCTTTTTAATGAGCCAGTTTAATAGACTCCAGCATCTCAATGTGGCTGCTCATCCATGTCAGACCATATGCACCAGCAAAACATTCGGTAAAACAAAAAAAGCTCTGCTGTCAGACAGCTCCGTACTCTATAAATTCCGTACAGTAGGTCTGGATACGCAGATAAATAACCGGAGAGGAGGAAACCGCACATGCAAACAAGAGGCAGGAAATCTATGCGAAGAAATACTAGAGAGGCCCCTATTTCCTTGGCTCTGATCAGATTCCCACAAGGTCCAAGTGTATTTACACAACATCTTCTCATTCCCTTTCCTCCTAACTCGAAGGAAACCCATTTGCCATTTTTCCCACGATAACACACCTTTCAGGGTTCCCGTTCGAAAGAAAGGCCCCATCCGGGGAGCAGGCTGGTTAATTCGACTCCAGCAGTTCATTCTGCCCGTGAGTGACCACGGGGGGGATGACACCGGGCTCTAAGCGAGTTCTTTCCACCCGGCTAAATGCCAGCAGCGGTGCGCACACGGCCCTGCCGCTCACCCAGGCGGGCGGCGCCGAGTCTCGGGGCGATGCGAAGTCTCCGTATCAGCGCCGGCACTTCGCTCAGGGCTCACCCAAAGTCCAGGGGCCGGGCGCTTGCACATCTGAAACCCTGGGGAAGGCCCGGTGGGGAAACGCCCGGGAATGTGGAGAAACGAATGAACGGAGCGTCCAGGCTGCCTGCTGTGGCGACTTAGCAGCTAGGGATCCAGGAACACACGGGCCCATTTCCAATGCTGCCTCGAGGACCATCTCTGACTGGTCACAGCCGTCTACGCCTTTCCCTGTTCCCCTCTCCTCCACCCGAATAAACGTCCTCCTTCCCGGTTTTCCACCCCGGCTCCCCCTATTAAATTCTTTTACTACATTGGAGCTGCAGCCATAGCTTCCCATCTCGACACCTGCGCCCAGCACTGATCTCCTGCAGGGTGAACGGGGCCAGAGGGAACGCACGCCTGGGCCACCTACCCGGGCCCGCCTCGCGGTTTTTTTAGGATCAGGTGGCTGTGCCTCTCCGGCGCCCGGGTTAAGTCCTTCCCTTTTAGCTAAAGCACTAAATGCTCAGAGGCGGCCGAGGAAGCCTGACCTGCAAGGATGAAAAAGGAGCGCTATGGGCAGGTCCTGCAGGAAGGCGGGGCTGCAGCCTGCCCGCAGCGAACCAGCGGTTAGCCTCTGCTGCAGGAATTTCACACGAGGAGGGGGCCCCGGGTCAGGAGGAGACCGACTCCGGAGGTTGTAGCATAAAAACTACAGGCGCTGTATGCGGACGGGCTCGCTTTTAGTAACATTCCAGTTTGCAAAGCGGCGGATTCACGTAAGGGCAGCTGATGCCGTCACGGGAAGATGCCCCCGAGCAGCTCCCAGGGCAGAAGCTCCTGTGACTCTGGAGCGCGACTGTGGCCGAGAGTCCCCTCAACGGCCCTTACGGTCCTGCCCGTGGAAGAGAGAGTGCAGCAGAGAAAGAAAACAAAGCACACGACGGAGGAGTTTGAGAGCAGAGGATTCCCCATCGCTCGCAAACACTGAAATGCTGCTAATCAGACCCTGCCTCCCTGTATTAGCAGCTGATTACACACGAGGAGGATGCCTTAAGGAAAATTATTTTAATAAGGTACACGGGCAATTTCATGTACGTGCCTCGTTCGGCAACTACTCCGCGAGGTTTAATAAAGAAGGGATTTACTTTACGTTTCCTAGAATTCTCATTATGAGAGCAGAGTGCCTGATGGGACGAACACTGGCCGGTCGGTAACAGTTTGCAGCAAAAATGCCACTTGTTACCTCTTTTATTTATCTCTTATCTTCACTCGGTTCGCCGAGCTTCCCAGAAGTCTTCTCTTGGATCACATAAAAGAAAATTAAACAGCCACTGAGTCACACACAAAGGCCAGCTTTCAAAACCACCGTGTTTCAAGAAGACCTGGAACGGCAAATCTCTTAACACTGAAGAGCAAAATATGGGGTTAAATTATATAAAAAATGACCATTTTAATACTGTGCATCTAAGAACCACTAGCGGCAGTTAGCATATTCGAATGTTATTCATCTTCACCTTTTGACTTTATTTTTAAAAATATTTTATTGAGTTTTAGAGAGGGAGGAAGTGGGGAGAGAGGGAGGGAGACACGATTTGTGGCTCCACTTACTGGTGCAGCATTGGCTGATTCTTGCATGTGCCCTGACCGGGGATCGAACCCCCAACCTTGGCGTATCAGGATGACGCTCTAACCGACTGAGCCCCCAGCCAGGGCCTCCACCTTTTACTCTGATACGATAAGCAACCAAGATTACCCTGCACAAAAGCCCGACACAGGGCAGAGGCTCCCCATCTGTAACTGCCCAGGCCGGAGCGGGTCCCCAAGGTGGACACCTGAGCGCTCTGCTATTCGGAGGGGCGGGGCGAGCGGCGCCAAGGCCCCACGGAGCCTGCCCCGCGGCACGGGCACAGGGCGCGGGCTCGCGCTCACCTGTCTGGGGTCCGCCTCTTCCCGCTCTCGTTCACGTCGAGAAGCAGCTCCGAGGAGTCCACGGGGGAGGTGGTGCTGGCGTCCAGCAGCAGCTGCTCGTGCTGAGCCAGGTACTGCGCGGGGTTCTGCTTGGCCAGCCTGGCGCAGTGCAGGAGCTCGCGCTGCAGCAGGGGCAGGTTCGCCTGCGGGCGGGACGGGACAGGGGGACAGGGTGAGCCCAGCCCGCCCTTCACACGCGGCAGAGCGCGCAGCTCCCGACCAAGCCCGTCCCCGACCGTCTGCCGCAGGCCTGATTCCCAGGCACGCGCCTCAGCGCTGGGCCACGAGGGCAGCCTTTCCCCGAGCCGGGCGGCCCCGAGCGCCAGGCCTCCGACCTTTGTAAGCCACCTCGCCTCTCCTGCTTCCAGGACCACTGGGGACACTGGGATTGGTGATTATTTATTTACTTATTTATGTTTCTATTGATTTCAGAGAGAGGAAGGGAGAGGGAGCGAGAGAGAAACATCAATGATGAGAGTCATTGCTCGGCTGCCTCCTGCACGCCTCGTACTGGGGATCGAGCCCAAAACCCCTAATGTGCCCTGACCGGGAACCGAACCATGACCTCCTGGTTCACAGCCCGATGGTCAACCACTGAGCCACACGAGCTGGGCGGCACTTTTTTATTTTCAAGGCCCTTCATACTTGCATATAATATAATAAGCGCTACAGGATACAGGGTTCCAGCTCCATCCATAAGCCACTTTTGTTTACTCCCCACGGAGGACAAGGGGGTTTGTGAAATACATACACACTCCAAATATTTCCAAAATCGGCTTCCTGAGGNCCAGGCCTCCGACCTTTGTAAGCCACCTCGCCTCTCCTGCTTCCAGGACCACTGGGGACACTGGGATTGGTGATTATTTATATACTTATTTATGTTTCTATTGATTTCAGAGAGAGGAAGGGAGAGGGAGCGAGAGAGAAACATCAATGATGAGAGTCATTGCTCGGCTGCCTCCTGCACGCCTCGTACTGGGGATCGAGCCCAAAACCCCTAATGTGCCCTGACCGGGAACCGAACCATGACCTCCTGGTTCACAGCCCGATGGTCAACCACTGAGCCACACGAGCTGGGCGGCACTTTTTTATTTTCAAGGCCCTTCATACTTGCATATAATATAATAAGCGCTACAGGATACAGGGTTCCAGCTCCATCCATAAGCCACTTTTGTTTACTCCCCACGGAGGACAAGGGGGTTTGTGAAATACATACACACTCCAAATATTTCCAAAATCGGCTTCCTGAGGCATTCATTTTTGCCTCTAGTAACTTGCCCAGGTAAAACAGGCTCATCCTATGAAATGTTTCTGGTTACTACTCACTTCAAATAAAAAAAAAAGAGAGATGAATGTAGATAATGTCTTTAGTAACCATCAGACTCGTGGTGTACGTACGGCCCTGAGTTTGGTGAGAGCCCAGGTGGAATTCATGCAGAAAGGGGACTATGCAAGTCATCTACAAAAATAACCTTCCTCTTTTTCACCCCTATTCTAAAAATTACACACAGTTTAACAGAAGGGGTCCTGTGTGCCCAGCATTGGAAAAGGACTCTCGGGGCGTGCGTGTCGGTGCACAATGCTGGCACCTCAAACGCAATGGGAGGGGAAGAGGCAATTTCACACCTAGTGGGGCGTCAAAATGAAAACGGGATTTTACTCTAAAAAGGTAACTTACTCTGACCTGACAAACCCAGGCTGCTGTTGCCTTTTCTCGCTTTTCTTTTGTATTCTTTTGGGGAATGGGGGAGGCAGAGCGAAGGCGCTTGTCCCCCACAGCACCGCACTCTCCAAATTCAAGGAAAGATCAATAACATAAACTACCTTGCAACCCAAGGATTTTATTTGTAGGAACAAGATACCGTGTCCATGAATTAACCCGTCAGGTTGAAAAGCACCTCTGAACACAGGAGGTGCCAGGTGCCCTACTCTTTGGGGCGTCTAGGGTCCCAGGGGCAGGACTTGCAACTCAAATCCATTTTCTGAGATATTAATCAAGAAATATACTCAAAGCATGTTTCTGCACAAGGTATAAAATACTAGGGTATGTGCTAAAGATAAGACCATCCCGCAGACTGTAGCCAGGAAAATCACTTCCTGCACAAGAACCGGGCCACAAATAAGCCCTTGCGGTTCATCCAGAGGATCACGTGGGTAAAAAACCTATTTTCAAATGTTTTTTAAACTCTCCTTTGTCCTCGGTAGTGAAGGCAGATCTCAGATACTGTATGCCATCCGTAAGTCATAAAATAGCAATTCCGTGGGAACTTTTAAAAAGTTTTAGGAATCATTCTGAAGTATATCGATAAGACTTAAATCATCCAAAACAATATGCCACAACCCTCTCTACTCGGGGCTCTTGCAAAGGATTCCAAGGATTAAAAAATAAATAAAAATAGTAGACAAGAAATGGTTTAATAAAGAGACAAAAAAACCCACCAAAAAATCCCACAGTATCTTCAGAGCTCCATTAACAAAGCATGAGATTCAGAATCATGAGAAGGGGGAAATCCACCCTGTTTCAGGATCTATTTCGCATCACCTTCAGCACCCTTATCAAGGAGGGGCGCCTGGGGTACCGTGAACCCCACGTCCCGTGGACACTGCAAGCGGGACTGTAGATGCGGCTGGGACCGCAGGGACAGGCCCTGTTTGAACAGACAGAGGCCTTTCCAGAGAGCAGATTCCTTCTGCGGGGAATGCTGGCAGAATGGGCCCAAGCAGGCGAGCACGGTTTTGCCAGCTCAGAGAGACACATTCCTGACTGATCGTCAGGAGAACTGACTCACGGGCTGGACATGTTGTGTGCAGATGTGTTTTGGCAGAGCATTCCCTGGCTCCCCTCCAGAAACAGCCTTAACATAGTCAGTACGAAAGTTGATTTTAAAGATACATAAAATAGTAATCCCGAAGACAAGTTATAAAGTACACATCTATTTGGCTATGTGTTATAGATAATAAGTTCTTCGTTTCAGGATCAAATATGTTTTTTGCAAAGGAGACTGTTAAACAATGGATGTGGCTACAGAATAAATAAACTATTTTAACTGGTGCCTAAAAATCAAGATGCTTCTAAGAAAAGATGCTGCGTCGATGGCTGTTTTCACTAAAAAGCTTTCTTTAATCTACGTTTTGGTGGGATTCCTAACTGCATGTTTAATACAGTCTCTGTCACACAGCTGAGTGATTAACAGTAAACAGGGGTGCCTCCAGTTTAAAATTTAAATGTATGGATGGAACAAGACAACAGGCTTTTCCGCAGCGCTCAGTTTAATTTAGTGATTCCATAAACATCTTCTTTCAATTTAAAAAATATGGTAATACAAAGCCATTTTGTTTGCTCTAATTCTGGTGCCAGATTAGGTAATTAGAATGGTGTCTAATATCCTTCCAGTAAATGTTTCTCCATAAATGCAAAATGGAACCGAGGGTCTGAGGGTTACATTAGCTTAATGAAAACAAGACTTTAATGCATATTGTTAGAGCAATGTTTGAATGCACTTATTAAGGCCCGAGTTCCCACAACCATATGGTTTTTGTCATTAATGTCTCCTTTGAGAAAAAGCACTAAAATTAGAAAAAAAAAAAAAAAAAA